GTGTGTGTGTGTGTGTGTGTGTGTGTGTGTGTGTGTGTGTTCATCTGCTTGATGCAAGAGCAAAAGATTTCTTCAGTGATTTTCAAAAATGTGTTTTAAGTTTGATGATCAGCAATATTTATCTGAACCTGAGCTCAGAGCAAAAGAGACGAACCAAAGGAAAGAACAGAGGACGGAGGAAGGGGGGAGGAAAGCAAAGCATTTCCTGTAAGATAGTTTCCCCTGTGAAAACGGCTGGTATCTCTTACTGCTCCAACCAAGGAAAAGAAAAAAAAAGTTCTTTGCTGCAGAGAGTAAAAATAAAATTCACAAAATATATGGAAATATGAGAGCAGTTCTGCAACTGGAACAAACATACAGCATGTGTTCAAATATAGATCAGTGCTCCAAATGTAAAAGTAGGAGAAAAGCACTGAAGCTGGTTGAATTGAATGTAAACATATATATCTGCACATTTGAGTGAACACTGTTTAATATGCAGGTGTTTAACCAGAGGGTATCTATAGAGGGATATCCCAATTTAAGATAAAAACCACTAAAAACAATCTTATAACAAAAGTGTTTGAGACAATGTGCTCTACCCACCCCGAAACGTAAAGTTTCGACTACCTTGTTTCCAGGGTCTGCTGCTGAAAAGTTAAACCAAAACTGTCATCACTTTATCTTCTTACACATGTTCTGAATTGTTCAAACTTTTGAAACATCATTACAGTTTAAATACAAGATGACCAAAGCCAAGCCCGAGCCACACGCACCTGCTACTGTAGATAAATGATTCAGCTCAACTATTAAAAACATTTCAAAGTTTCTTGAAGATGTTTTGTAACTTCTGGCCAGCAGGAACCATCTATCATAGCCAAATCAGAATCAATGGAAAGCCATGAAGAACACTTCTCATTTGAATTATTCTCTCAGGAACTATTACCAAATGAACTGATGAGGTGAATCAGTGCTTGATTTTATCGTTTGAAATTTAATTTTATCATYTAAATCATCTCAGGCTGTTTTTTTCTAATGTTTTTAACAAACTCATCATTTTAGCCATGTTCCTTGGCATTTAGCTTGATGTGCTAACTTGCAGCCTAAGTCAAAGCAGCCTGTATAGAAATATAAAAATAAGATGTAGCCTTGAGTTTCTGATTTTACCAGCATCATCATTTTGCAGATAGAAGTGGTCATTTTTGCAAAGTGAACTGGATCTGAACAGTAAAAAAAAGAAGTAGAAGTCAATGGTTTGATGCATCAATATTTACGAACAGTATTTTCAAAAGCACCAACTAACAATGAGGAAGTAGTCAGCTAGTTTTGGTCAGTGATGGTTTTTCACATTAGCATCTTTTATATACATTCTTACAAYAAGACACTATTTTATCTACTTAAACTTTTAATTCTGATATATTTAGATTTTTATAACAAATATCTAAATACTTAATGTGCAGCAGCTCCATTCATTGTTCATATCCACAGTTTGACCACCGTTGGTTCTACACAGTGGTGGGCACTGCACAGCTAACCAAAATATTAGCTTCACCAACATCTAAACTGCCACATAATTTCTTTATCTCCACTAATGATAAAAAGCTAAATAAACAGAAACTGGTAAGAGCCTAAAAAGTCAAGCACTCGTGTTTTTTTTTTGTTTGTTTTTTTGAATATGTTCTACTTGAGTAATGTAACAAAGTAGTTGTATTGCTTAACTTACCACCTCTGGTTTCAAGTGGGGTCTTTGGTTTTTCTAGAAAAACTCTTGTTCAATTTTTGTTTAAAATGAATGGTTTTGCCTGTAAATTGAAACAAGAAGACCTGGTCCATATACAAGAGGAGACTCAGAATGTGGGAGGAAAAAATCACTGTGTGACTCTTGGCAGCGACTGCTTGGCATTGCTCTCTGCTCACAGCTTTGTTAATCATATCACTGTTGCATGTGAAAGTCGATATTATTGAATTTATAAGAATGTGGCAAAGTGTATTTTAAGATTAATAGTGGTAAAGAAAATGACCTATATCATTTTAGCAGGAGTTAAGTCTGTTGTAATTCATAGAGTTAGTGCAAAAGCCAAACTGCTCAGCAAAAGTTCAGCTGTTTAGCGACTGTGCCCACCACTGATTGTAAAGTTATGCTGTTGTCGTGACGTTCAGAGGAGGATTTTAGCAAATGTTCAAATATCCACTGCAGCTTTAAAAATAGCTTTAATTGTAACTGTTTACTGTTGCCCATCAGCTTTCACAAACTCACTAATTCAATGTGAATGGAGGAAAACTGCAGGGAAATACTTGGTGCTACACAGGCTCCAACTGTTTGGATTGAGGTACTGGCAGGCCCAGTGCCTTATCTACTTAAGGAGTAAGTCATTTTGGTGTTTTTAATCATTAATCCTGCAGTCTTTGTGCAAAAGTCAGTGTTTTTTAAGTAAAATTGTTCAGAAGGAAAATAAAATGTTTCTTTGTGTAATATTGCATTACGTTTATGGAACTAAGGATTAAAACATGTTATATTTTAGATGTGCAGGTCTTTTTTATCATCTTTTGTAACAAAAAAATCTTTAACATTTACTGACACATTTACATTTCAGTAGAGGTTGAAAAGCAGTAGTAAGCTTTATTTTTTATTATTTTATCCAGCCTCGTGGTGGAAGAACCACCTTCTTTTTTAATTTTTTTCCCCTTTAATGTTAACCAGTTTACACCTAAAGCAACACATTTGTAGTTGTGTTCCTTTCAAATGCAGAAGGAAGGATGTGTCTGTGCCTGATGTGGCCCAGAAAATATGGGTTTGAACATTTTGTCAAAGACAATAAAAGCAAGAAGTTTGAACGTTTCATCTGTTGGTTTTTTTTTTTTTTTCATGTTTTTGGATTCTTTTAAAGCTGGGGTGACAAAAAGGTTTAAAGGACGTTATTTTTTTTCTCAGAAAATCCTTGGGAAGTAGGAGGTTGGTTTTAAAATTATGTGAAAGATTTATTTATTTATTTATTTATTTATTTATTTATTTATTTATTTATTTATTTATTTATTTATTTATTTATTTATTTATTTATTTATAGATTTGATATTTTGGCTTTGAAGGTGCAGGTTGTCCATGTGAATGAAAGTTTTTATCACTTGTATTAAACATGCAGTTACAGAGTGATCACACTTAGGTCTGATCCAATAAGATCTCTAATAACAAGCAGCACTACAGTAAATTACATGTGGCAAGAACATCTTTGGTGCAGAGCAATAATATTTTTACAGGTTAAAACCAACTTTATTTGGCTGAATAAATTAATCAGTCTTGGCAGAAATTCAATGTTTTTTTCAGCTGCTTTAGTCCCAGAAGAAACATGTTTATATTTAGGCATCATCTTAAGCCAGTAAAAAAAACATAAAAGAACAAAACACTTTTTTACATAATCTAACTTGCAAAACATGTCAATTTGAGTAATTATTTGGTAAATGAAGTAGGCTGTTGAATCAACTCTTCATATTTATTACATCACAAACTCGCTGTTTTCTGTGCATAGTTCACATAATGTTTTTTTTTAATCCATCTACTTGTCACTTCAGCTTTATATTCTCATTTAGTTACACAGCTTTAGCATTTAAGGTCTTATTTGAAAAAAATCAGAATATTATTTTTCATCTTTTGAACGTGTTCTGGCTGAGCTTTTAAATTGTTCATCAAATCTTTTCTGGAGAAAATGAATCACCTGAGGTAATAAATAAATAAACAAATAAATAAATAATGATTAATTTAAAAAGTTTAATTGCTTGCAGAAGGGCCTTAGAAATTGATGCACTTTAGGTGAGTTTCTAAAATTTTGGTTTTGAAAATAGGCAAGAAATAATGTTAAAAGCAAGAAACAGAATGAAATCTGATGATTAAATGGTGGTAAATGCTGCCGTTGTAATTAATGTAGAAATGTATACAGAGACATTTTAAATAGTGAATGAATGTTTAACTCATTTGTTAAGTAGTCAGGAATGTTTGTGTGCGCAGTTTATCTTGTATTCTTGTGATTTTTCTCAGTCTGGTTTGTCTTACCTGCCTATTCAAGAGAATCCACTCAGCATGGAGACTTGTTTTGGTGTCAGATTTAGTTCATAAATTTGCATAATGTACATGTAATATCAGAGCGAAAAACTTCTCTCACTAAAAGGACCTAAAGTTTGTACCAGGACCACCAATAGGGATGTTGTTCTCCTGCTGGCTTCATCTTTCAGGATCCCAGTACTATTTTGTGATATATGTTGAAGATTTTTGACAAAATTAGCTTTTAAACTAAAAATCAGAGATCCACTCAAATGATTTTCACAAATAAGGGCTGTTGACATCCTTCGTATTTACTGAGCTCAAAACTACAACACACACACACACACACACACACACACACACACACACACACACACATATATATAT